CACATGCAGAAACTCAACGCATTTAGGCATCTAGACCTGGTAAAGACGACTTGCTGAAGTTCAAACCAAGCATCAGAATGGGGAAGAAAAAGGGATTTAAGTGACTTTGACTCCAACAACTACAGTCAGGTCCATAAATATTGTGACACTGTAACTACTTGTGGGGTGGGTGAAGAAGATTTTTTTTTTTTTTCTTTACACCGATTGCTTTTTACACCCATAAAGGCTGTAAAAGCAATAATTTCTCCTTCTCTCTGGCTGTATTCTTGCAGCCATTGAGAATTGTTGTGCGAGCTGTGATTGGTCACAGCTTGTCACATGGTACAAGACTGTTGTGAATAGCCCTCTGTACCATGCGACCTACTGTGATCATTCACAGATTCCACACGTAGTAAGCAATGATGTCAGAAGTGACATCTTGCTTACTACTCTTCATGTGATCACTGATTGGCCAATCAGTGATCACATGATCGGGACCTCACACAGAGGTCCCGTACGATGAATCGGTGTTCCACTGTGTCCCAGCGGGCACCGGATCGCGGTGCTGCGCACTCCCAGGGAGTGCGCACAAGTGAGGAGGCCAGAAATGTGGTGCGCTTGTCGTTTCCTATGAGGCGAGTTAAGATCACCAACATGGTTATTTTCCTTCTGTAAACTACTAATCCCCCCCACTCTGAAAAGCGTTAATACTCCTGCGCTTGGGAAGTGGGCCCGAAAAAAAAAAAAAAAAAACTAAATCAGTAGGCTGCAATCATATCCTGGCTCTCTCGCCTTGCTGCCCCTCACAAAACTGGGAGAAGTCTATAGTAGAGATACTGCAATGAAAAGAAAAAAAAAAAAACAAAAAACAGGACGACGCACTGTACTAGTGTATTATCCATAAAATATGGCTCTTTCGTACTACTTGTGAACACTTTTCTTTGTATTATTTTTTCATTTCTTTTTAGTTTTTGTTTTTTTTGTTAAAGGATAATGCACTAGGCCAGAGTGTCCTCTGTTTTGTTTGTTTTTGCAGAATCCCCAGCTCCCCATGAAATGGAAATGAACACAAAAAAAAACAACAAAAAAACACAGGCGTTTACTAATGTCAAACTGTAGTGAAGAACAAAAACAGAGCTCTGATGAAGAAGGGACACCCAACCCCCCCCCCCCCCCCCCCCCCCCCACCCCCCCCCCCCCCCCCCCCCCCCCCCCCCTAGAAAACGCATCAGCGTCATTCTGAGAATTTCCCCTTCGGATGGGATTCGCATGCATCTCCTTATCGTAGGCTGCGCTTTTGGATTTCATATGCCTGTTTTATTACTATTCTTGTGAGTAGATCTCCCTAAATCAATAAATTTACTGTTTACGGAGGTCATGCGCAAGGTTTTTGTTCTTCACTACAGTTTGTATCAAGCTTCCCCAGCTTTGTGTTGGAGCTGCACAGCCTTTCATCGGTTTGGGACGAACTTCCATACATCTTTATACTTTTTATACTACTGATCCATCGGCCCTCCACTGGTCAGGGTCCCTGAGTGCAGGAGGTGTTGTAACTGTTTATTTTTAACCTCTTCACGCTGGCCGTACGCAAATGTGCGTCCTCCCGGTGTCTGGGCCTAGACGCCGGGTGGCCGCACATTTGCGTTCTATTAAAAAAAAGACATATGTGCTGAGAACAGGCGCCCTGCGCGCTCCCCAGCACACACGTCCGATACTCACGGAAAGGTCCTGATCTCCTCTTTCGATCGGGACCTTTCCCGTTCATGTGACCGCCGTGACACGCCGTCACATGACCCTGAACTTTGCCCCGCCCCTCAGCTTCTGAAACCCTTAACCACTTCCAGTCCAGACACTGTCACCCCCTTCCCCCCCAGGCCAATTTTCAGCGCTATCACACTTTGAATGACAATTGCGTGCGGTCATGCAATACTGTACCCATATGAATTTTTTACCATTGTTTTGAGACAGATAAAGCTTTATTTTGGTGGTATTTATTCACCGCTGGGATTTTTATTTTTTTTTGCTATGTAAATGAAAATGTCCAAAAGTTTTTTAAAAAAGTGTTTCTTTATAAAATTTTGCAAATAAATAATCTTTCATCATAAATCTTGACCAAAATTTATTCCGTTATATTTTTAGTAAAAAAAATTAAAAATAAAATAATAAGCCAAATTAGTTTATAACCAAAAATTATAATTTTTTAACATTTTTTTTACATTTTTATTTTTTTATATTCTTTATGTTTTTTTTTTTTTTTACATACTGTCACCCTAGCAGTACAGTGTCACCATGGTGACACTGTACTACTTGTGGGGGGTGATGAAGATTTTTTTTTTTTTTTACAGTGATTGCTTTTACACCCATATAGGATGTAAAAGCAATCATTTCTCTTTCTCTCTGTCTGCATTCTTGTAGCCATTGAGAAATACTGAGTGAGCTGTGATTGGTCACACCTTGTCACATGGTACCCCAGGCTGTTGTGAATAGCCTTGTACCATGTGACCTCTGTGATCATTCACAGATTTCACACGTAGTAAGCAATGATGTCACAAGTCTGGAGGACACAGCGGGCACCGGATCGCGGTGCTGTGCGCTCCCAAGGAGCGCGCACAGCTAGAAATGGCGGGTGCCGTTTTATGAACAACAACCCGCCCCTGGAGTGCCACCGCCCTGCCGTTTATAAACAGCAGGCGGACGGCAAGAGGTTAAAGGGCCGGGAGGCGCCAGCATGAAGGGGTTAATGTCAAGCCTGGGTGACAACCATGGCTCCCTCCCATAGATACAGTAGCAGAATAAGTGTTGTCACCCTAGGACAGGAAACGTGTTACTGGCAGGATCACCAAATGAAACAAAAAGCCAGAAAACAAAGAAACTCATGCAGCCATCTCATCTAAGAACTGGTAAGCCGCAAAAAAATTAAATTTTTTTTTTAAATTTAGATACACTTTACCATTCATTGAATATACAAGGAAAGAAAACACCGCATACCTGGAGAAATTCTTGAGCAGTCACAACAGTATCCAGAAAGGAAGCTACATCTTCTTTAGACAGTTTTTTTCCATTGTACCAGGCGCATTCTGGATTAAGAATTTAAAAAAAAAAAAACATTACAACACAAAAAAAAACATAAAAAAACATTGAGCGCGATAAAATGTTTGGACTGAAAATGAATCCTAAAACTAGCACACAGGAAACATACCCAACAATTACCCGTCCAGATAGTTCTTTCTTGACCTGTCTACTAATCACAGTCAAAAACCCTATATTCTCTCCCCACACTACAACTTTCCATTTATTCGGTTTAGTTCTCAAACTCCACCACTAGGGGCACCATAATTTCGAGATATTTTTCAGACGATTAAAAAACAAAACAAAAAAAAAAACACCATACCACCTGCTCCATTCCATCTCCCTCAATGTGGTATAAACCCGGGTTCACACTGCTGCGGTGCGGAATGTGCAGAGTTTTCTATGCGAATTCCGCACCGCATCAGAAGTGTGCCCCGTACATGCAAACTGCTGTGGGTGTCTATGTTTAGTTAACAACACCCCGAAAGCGGTCGGCAAAAAACGCGGTGCGATGTGCAGAATCGGATCGCATAGGTGTGAATGCCCATGCGATCCAATTCTAGTGCGGACCCAAAAAAAAAGGGTCCTGCACCTTTTTGGTTCGGGTGCGGTGCGAATAGAGCCATATAAAATGTACGGCTTCGATCGCCCCGCACACAAATTTCATGTGATCATAACACTGCCACTAATGACATCACCGACCTTTTCTCTAAATATCACCCAAACCGTACTCTCCGCTCCTCGCAAGACCTCTTACTCTCTAGTTCCCTGGTCTCCTCCTCCCATGCTCGTCTCCAGGATTTCTCAAGGGCTTCACCCATCCTCTGGAACTCCCTACCCCAAGCTATCAGGCTATCTTCTACTCTGCTCACTTTTAGGCGCACTCTTCAGGGAAGCCTACCCCGACCCCAGCTAATATTGGAATCCCCTACTCCTCCTACCACTCCATCCCCCACAGCTAATTACTTCTTGTACCACTATCCCCTCCCTCCTAGATTGTAAGCTCCAAGGATCAGGGCCCTAATCTCTCTTGTATTGAACTGTATTGTTACTGTATTGTCTCCCTCCATAATATAAAGCGCTGAGCAAACTGTCGGCGCTATAGAAGTCCTGTATAATAATAATGTGATTTGCACAGGATTGCGGTGCGGTTCCTGTGCGAATCACATGCGACATACCGCATGTATGTGAACCCAGGCTTACTCCTTCATATTATTTATATACCGTATTTGCCGGCGTATAAGACGACCCCCCTACTTTTCCTGCTAAAATGTAGTGTTTGGGCTATACTCGCCGTATAAGACTACCCCTCTTCCAATGCACACCAGTGGGAGGAATAGTGCCCCATCATTGATGTCAGTGGGAGGAATAGTGCCCCATCATTGATGTCAGTGGGAGGAATAGTGCCTCATCATTGGTGTCAGTGGGAGGAATAGTGCCCCGTCATTGATGTCAGTGGGAGGAATAGTGCTCCGTCATTGGTATCAGTGGGAGGAATAGTGCCCCGTCATTGGTGTCAGTGGGAGGAATAGTGCCCCATCATTGGTGTCAGTGGGAGGAATAGTGCCCCATCATTGATGTCAGTGGGAGGAATAGTGTCCCATCATTGGTGTCAGTGGGAGGAATAGTGTCCCATCATTGGTGTCAGTGGGAGGAATAGTGCCCCATCATTGGTGTCAGTGGGAGGAATAGTGCCCCATCATTGATGTCAGTGGGAGGAATAGTGCCCCATCATTGATGTCAGTGGGAGGAATAGTGCCCCATCATTGGTATCAGTGGGGGGAATAGTGCCCCATCATTGGTATCAGTGGGAGGAATAGTGCCCCATCATTGGTATCAGTGGGAGGAATAGTGCCCCATCATTGTATCAGTGGGAGGAATAGTGCCCCATCATTGGTATCAGTGGCAGGAATGGTGCCCCATCATTGGCGTCAGTGGGGGGAATAGGTGCCCCATCATTGGTATCAGTGGCAGGGAATGGTGCCCCATCATTGGTGTCAGTGGGAGGAATGGTGCCCCATCATTGGTGTCAGTGAGGGGTGGAATAGTGCCCCATCATTGGTGTCAGTGGGAGGAATGGTGTCCCATCATTGGTGTCAGTGGGAGGAATGGTGTCCCATCATTGGTGTCAGTGGGAGGAATGGTGTCCCATCATTGGTGTCAGTGGGAGGAATGGTGTCCCATCATTGGTGTCAGTGGGAGGAATGGTGTCCCATCATTGGTGTCAGTGGGAGGAATGGTGTCCCATCATTGGTGTCAGTGGGAGGAATGGTGTCCCATCATTGGTGTCAGTGGGAGGAATGGTGTCCCATCATTGGTGTCAGTGGGAGGAATGGTGTCCCATCATTGGTGTCAGTGGGAGGAATGGTTGTCCCATCATTGGTGTCAGTGGGAGGAATGGTGTCCCATCATTGGTGTCAGTGGGAGGAATGGTGTCCCATCATTGGTGTCAGTGGGAGGAATGGTGTCCCATCATTGGTGTCAGTGGGAGGAATGGTGTCCCATCATTGGTGTCAGTGAGGGGTGGAATAGTGCCCCATCATTGGTGTCAGTGGGGGGAGGAATAGTGCCCCATCATTGGTGTCAGTGGGAGGAATGGTGTCCCATCATTGGTGTCAGTGAGGGGTGGAATAGTGCCCCATCATTGGTGTCAGTGGGGGGAGGAATAGTGCCCCATCGTTGGTGTCAGTGGGGGGGAAATAGTGCCCCATCGTTGGTGTCAGTGGGGGGGGGGGAATAGTGCCCCATCGTTGGTGTCAGTGGGGGGGGGGAATAGTGCCCCATCGTTGGTGTCAGTGGGGGGGAGGAATAGTGCCCCATCGTTGGTGTCAGTGGGGGGGAGGAATAGTGCCCCATCGTTGGTGTCAGTGGGAGGAATAGTGCCCCATCGTTGGTATCAGTGGGAGGAATAGTGCCCCATCATTGGTATCAGTGACACCAATGATGGGGCACTATTCCTCCCACTGAGACTTGCTGACCCTGTTCTCGTATGGTGCTGCTGCAGCCAGCATATGTGGTTGCAGCAGCACCTCTACACAGAGCACTTACCTGCTGCTCCGGCACTCAATTTTCGTGGGGCCGCTCGGCTCCGCCCCCTCGCCGGTGATTGGCCGCCTGTGTGCCTTTCCTGAGCTACAGTTCTGGCGGCCAATCACCGGTGAGGAGGCGGAGCCGCGCAGCCGCACGAACATCCAGTGGCCGAACTGAAGGAGACGCCGCACTTCCTGGACCGGATCGTCGTGGGACTGGATCCAGGTAAGAGACGTCAGCCCCTGCAAACCCCTGTACTTAATGCCGCAGCCCCCCTAACATGTGTACCGGCGTATAAGACGACCTCCGACTTTTGAGAAGATTTTCAAGGGTCAAAAAGTCGTCTTATACGCCGGCAAATACGGTACTTAAAGCCGAGTTCCACTCACCCTGTCAAACAATAAAAAAAGTCAGCAGCTACAAAAACTGTAGCTGACTTTTAAAAAACAGCCACTTACCTGTCCCACAATCCCCACGGTGTGTCCCCCGCATCCCGTTTCACCGGCCATCCTGCATTCCAGGTGGCCGGCATCTTCAGTGTGGGCACCCAGCTTGCGGCTTCACAGCCGGGTACCCACTGCGCATGCACGTGTAGTGCTGCGCTTCATGAATGGTCCTGTTGTCTTCTGGGACCTGTCACGTGTCCCAAAAGACTACAGGGAGGGAAGACACCTTCCGCTTCCGATCGCCTAAGCGTTTGGACCGGAAGTGGGAGCGGGTACCTGTCAAATTCGGGTACCAGCTCCCCAAAAGGTGCCAATCCGTAATGGGAAGCGGGGGAGCAGTCCTTAACCCCTTCCTGCCGGCGCCTCCTGGCCCTTTAAGAGTTTCAGACGCAGGGAGGCGGGCCGTGGTTTAGGGATCATGTGACCGCCGTGACGACGCGTCACGGCGGTCACATGATCGGGAAAAGTCCCGATCGAAAGAGCAGACCGGGACCTTTCCATGAGTACCGGACATGTGTGCTGGGAGCGCGCAGGGCGCGTGCTCTCAGCACATCCTTTTTTTTTTTTTTTTTCTTAATAGAACGCAAATGTGCGGCCGCTCGGCGTCTAGGCCCAGACGCCGGGAGGACACATATTTGCGTACGGCCAGCGTGAAGGGGGACCAGCGTCGTCACGGCGGTCACATGATCGGGGAAAAGTCCCAATCGAAAGAGCAGACCGGGACCTTTCCATGAGTACCGGACATGTGTGCTGGGAGCGCACAGGGTGCGCGCTCTCAGCACATAGGTTTTTACCTTACATTAAACGCAAATGTGCGGGCCGCTCGGCGTCTAGGCCCAGACGCCGGGGGAGGCCGCACATTTGTGTGCAGCCGGTGTACAGGGGTTTTTTTTTTTTAAGCGGAACTTCCCCTTTTGGTTGGAGCTCCGCTTTAATCCTCCATCCAATCTCTCATTGTTGTGGGGAGGGGGGGGGGGGGGGGGGGGGGGGGGGCGGTCCCATGCCTGCCAAAATTTGGGGCTTAAGCCTTTTGCAGC